GCGACGGAACCTTCATCGACGGATTAGCGAGAGAATTTTCAAGGACTTTTAGCGACGGATTTTCCCTCGCTAATTTGTATAAATTTAAAAAATAAATTTTTTGAAATTGCATAATTCCTGTATATATTTTTAAAAAACCTGAAAATAATAATATAACAAACAAAAACTGTGAACAAATTTTAACTAACMAATTCATACGATTTAAAATATGGATTCATACAATTTAAAATATTCAATTCATACAATTTAATCTTCAAATACATACAATCTAACTATCGGGAGGTGTGGGAGGTGGGAAAACGTATCCTGACTGCCGCATAAACGTAGCAAAATGCTCGGATAATGCGGCATGTTGGGCTAATGCAACAGCTTGTCTAGCCTGTTCGGCCTCCAAATCTACCCTATTCTTCCGTTCGGTCTCCAGTTCCTCTTCTACCCTTGCCAACTTCTCTCTCAACTCCGTTACCTGTAAATATTCAATATTCGACAAAATCAATAATTTGTTCACAATTTTAGTAATGAGAAAGTTTATAACAATATAACCAACATACCTCCGCTCTTGACTCGTATGATGACTCGCTACTGCTACATCTACCCGTCATAGCATAAGAGGGATCCTAGGTGGTCATGAAACCAAATATTCAGCCTTTCCTCCGTCCTCCGACACTTTGCTCCCAAAGAGATGCCTCATCAGGGAGAGGGCTGTCGGTACTAGATTGTGACTCACCCCTAAGCGATTGAAATCGCTCCTATGGTTCACCAAAACAAAAATGGGTGAGGTTATGTATGTAGATATTTCAGCAGCATAACGACTRTAAATCAAACATAACCAATGCATGTATTTAACAACTAAGCATTCTAATAATACCAATGTTCGAAGTCACATTCTCAACCTACTTACTTAGCCTAACGTCTGCCCAACAATGGCAGTCCAAACTAATAGCATCACTATGTTTATTGAAATATATTACCTTAAACCTACCAAACGTATCTATTAACCAAAGTAATGGTTTTARAAAACTTACATGATACCTAGCAGCTTTCGGGTAACTGAACTGAGGAGGATCGGTAGGCGGKTYGGACGAACCTTGRTCGAACTTCCGGTTCRTGYAGTGAGTGCGCTCAAACACCTCAGTAGCAGTAGGCTCACGACCCATTACTTGTGCCTACATTAGACAATTAGGTTAAGTTGTTACTAACATAAAGAACGAATTACATTTTCAAAAAAGATTAGATACTCACCATCCGGTCTCGATGTTGTGCCGTACTAATCGATCCCCCAGTGTGTCTGGAGGACACCCCCTCAAACTGGATGTTCCGATTGGCCCGATTGATCCTAGATTTCCTTTTCCAAGCCTCGGTATCCCAAACCTGTTAAAAACAGAGCACATATATAAGACGAAAGTCGGTACACATAAGAGATGCATACCGTATCAATCATCTGCAGCCAAAACCTGTCTGGTATCCATACGGGATGGTGTAATCTAATCCGTGAGAAGTCCTCACCATCCCATTGTTGATCACCAGGATAAGTCTGTGCCACGGCCCAATCACATGCAGAGCTCATCCAATCAGAGTACCTGTTGTGCATGGCTTTGGTCCATAATAAATGAACCGTGTCATCTAGCTCAGGTTTCCACTGGAACTTAGCCTACATACACAATGTTTGTATAAATGTAAAAACAATAACTTTGTATGTATAATTACATTAAAATGGTACACCAACCCTAAATCGCTGGAACATTAAGTCACGTGCTTCCTGAGGTACTTCATTCCATCTATGCCACGGACCAGCAAAGGAAGACCTGAAGATRGTCGTCATCTCTCGGACAACATGGGCATCTTTAAACCTGTACAATTAAAAAAAATTACAACACAAAGACATTCATATTATTTTATTATGTAATAAAAAGTCTTATACCACATCTACTTACCCATGGCCTAACAAAGACAGATGTCTTCGGTGGCTCGGATGACTCGGTGTCGGCATCTCTATGTTGGGGCCTCTCCCCAACCCCGAACCTGTCGAAGCTGGGGTCTCCATGGCCACCTCTTGCTCATCTAAACCGCGAAAAGCGGTGTCCAAAAACTCTACAATGTCATCGACAGGGACAGAGTTGCTACCCCTACCAGACATGGGGCTGCCGCGACTCACATACCGGTCTCTACCACGCTCTCGGCGTGACATCAGTGAGGGATCAGCGAGGGAATCTGATTTTTGTCATTTCCCTCGCTGATCCCTCGCTGATAAATGAGGGATCAGCGAGGGAATCTGATTTTTGCCATTTCCCTCGCTGATCCCTTGCTGATCAGCGATGGATCAGCGAGGGAATTGTCCTATTTTCTTGATATTCTTGATTTTTATGTGTTACATGTACACATTTATATATTTAGGTATTCGTATATTCATTCTCAGTTTTATTGGGCTTTAACCAATTTAACTGGGTTTTGTTCGATTTTATTGGGACTTAATCCATTTACCGGGCTATTTTGAGTGTATCGAGCCTTAATGAACTTTATTCGGTTTAATGGGCCTCAATGGGCTTTATTCGGTTTAATGGACCTTAATGGGCTTTATTCGGTTTTATTAATTAATTTTTGTAATATTCTTAAAAATAATAAATAATTGGAAATTTAATAATCAATAATTAAAAAATTAATAAGTAATTAAATTTATAGTTGTAAAATAAAAAAATGGCGAAAATCAGCTTCCCTCACTGATCAGTGAGGGATCAGCGAGGGAATCTGATTTTTGCCATTTCCCTCGTTGATCAGTGAGGGATCAGCGAAGGAATCTGATTTTTACCATTTCCTTCGCTGATCCCTCGCTGTATTTTTATTTGTTACATGTACACATTTATATATTTAGGTAGTGTATGTATACATGTGCATGTGTTATAAGTATATATGTTCATCAGCCCGTGTCATATACATATGTTTACACGACGTTTTATGTGTTATATGTATATACACGTCGGTCAATGTTATATACATATATATACACGATGTGTACTGATTGCCATACCTATATCGGATCGATGTATATTGTTTAAACATATGTGAATGTATAGATAGTGTGTGTGTGTGTTATATGCAGATTTATTCGGCTTTATTGTGTCTTAACCCATTTAACTGGCTTTGTTCGATTTTATTGGGTCGTAATCCATTTATCGGGCTTCATTGAGTTTATCGGGCTTTAGTGAACTTTATTCAGTTTTATTTGACTTTATTCGGTTTAATGGGCCTCAATGGGCTTTATTCGGTTTAATGAGCCTTAATGGGCTTTATTCGGTTTTATTAATTAATTTTTGTAATATTCTAAAAAATAATAAATAATTGAAAATTTAATAATCAATAATTAAAAATTAATAAGTAATTAAATTTGTAGTCGTAAATAACAAAATGTCAAAAATCAGATTTTCTCGCTGATCCCTCGCTGATCAGTGAGGGATCAGCGAGGGAATCTGATTTTTGTCATTTCCCTCGCTGATCCCTCGCTGATCAGTGAGGGATCAGCGAGGGAATCTGATTTTTGTCATTTCCCTCGCTGATCCCTCGCTGATCAGTGAGGGATCAGCGAGGGAATCTGATTTTTGTCATTTCCCTCGCTGATCCCTCGCTGATCAGTGAGGGATCAGCGAGGGAATCTGATTTTTGTCATTTCCCTCGCTGATCCCTCGCTGATCAGTGAGGGATCAGCGAGGGAATCTGATTTTTGCCATTTCCCCCGCTGATCCCTCGCTGATCAGTGAGGGATCAGCGAGAGAATCTGATTTTTGTCATTTCCCTCGCTGATCAGCGGGGGATCAGCGAGGGAATTGTCCTATTTTCTTGATTTTTATGTGTTACATGTATACATTTATATATTTAGGTATTCGTATATTCATTCTCGGTTTTATTGGCCCTTAACCCATTTAACTGGGCCTTAATCCATTTACCGGGCTATTTTGAGTGTATCGGGCCTTAATGAACTTTATTCGGTTTAATGGGCTTTATTCGGTTTTATGGGCCTTATTCGGTTTAATTAATTAATTTTTGTAATATTCTAATAAATAATAAATAATTGGAAATTTAATAATAAATAATTAAAAATTAATAAGTAATTAAATTTGTAGTTATAAAATAAAAAAATTGTTGAAAATCAGTTTCTAGACAATCCCTCGCAGATCAGTGAGGGATCAGCGAGGGATTGTCTAGAAACTGAATCTCTCGCTGATCCCTCGCTGATCTGCGAGGGATTAGCGATGGATTCATTTTCTGGGCAATCCCTCGCTGATCTCTCGCAGATCAGCAAGGGATCAGCGAGGGAATAGCCAAAAACTGAATCCGTCGCTGATCCCTCGCAGATTAGCGAGGGATCAGCGAGGGAATAGCCAGAAACTGTATCCTTCGCTGATCCCTCGCAGATCAGCGAGGGATCAGCGATGGTATAGCCAAAAACTGAATCCCTCGCTGATCAGCGAGAGATTCATTTTCTGGACAATCCCTCGCTGATCTGCGAGGGATTTTTTCCCTCGCTGATGGTCGCCGCTGATACCTAGTTTTCTAGTAGTCATGGGATTGTGTTCAAATTTGATAAGGCTTATGAGACTAGCCTTATGAGCTTCTCAAATGTTACATTTCGTTTCTACGTGGGAACAAATCCCTTAACATTATCCCAACAATAATCAGTATCACCGACGGAAATAAACAGTTGGTGATATTTCTATTTCTAGTAATGGATATTAATGTAACAGATTGAACTTATTATTGAGATAAATAACAAATTACATAAAGATATCTACCTTTAATCAGCTATTCTTTTTCACTTCAAGTAACAATAGGTAATTCCAAAATGCACATACAAGCACTCTACAATTCGACTCCGAGAAGTATCAACCATATCAAAATTGTTAAAGTTCCACCCAGTTGACTAATATGAAACTTCAATGGTTTGTAGAATTGCTTACATGACAAAATTATTTCATTGCGGGACAAATGGCATGAGAAAAGAATAAGGATTAATAAGGCCAAACGCCAGGATAGTTCCCTGGAGGGTCATAATTGCAAACGACTACGTAATAATCTTCTTCAGGAGGGTCGCATTTTACCCTAGCACATCCAAGACGTTGCGTATCTTTCCAAACTACTTGAGTATAATGGCCACACATATGTATGCACTCGTTTTTGTTGTAGTCATAGTTTCTTCTCTCATCAACCCACATTTGCACTGCCCACCTACCGCTGAGGTCAGGTCCTTTACCCATGTTCTCACCACCCCCTGGAGAGTGTATCAATTTACAATCTGTCCTTTGGGCGGCCCACTTCTCCGCTCGTTGAACCAGTGCAGGGTCCCAAGTTAGAGGAGGCAAACCCAAAGCTTTTCTAATACAACTATGCATATGAAGGTAATCGCTTGGTTCACTGTGTGCATGAGATACATGTAGTATTGCCAATGATATCACAAGGAGAAGCATGGTGTTATGCCAATGTCCCATCTTTCTATATGAGGTGACAACATTGACAAACGGGTATTTATATGTTGTGAATATAGAGGAAGTCAAAGTGAAATGCAAAAGGTGAGGAACAATAATAGGAAACCATGCAAAAAGGACACTTGATGGAGCTAGAAGTCCCAAATTTTTCATCCAACTAAAATTTTGGACATAAAACCACCAGATTAGACGATTTTCATAATTGACGAAATCAACAAACAATCGTGAACCATTACTTTGAAAGAGCTAGAAAATAGTGTTGATTTGCCATTTGTTCCTTTTCCATTTTCATAATTGACTAAATCAACAAACATCTTTCAAAGCAACCACGCCCTACGCTCCTTGACCGGAAATGGGACTCACATTATTTGTGATGAATCGTCAGCCATTTTAGGTCGATTTTAACGCTCTTTAATTTATGTGGTGCTATAAGGCAGGTTGTTTGCGGCATTTTGACACCAAAATCACTAAAAACAAGTTGAAACATGTTTGAAATTTCACCGAATTGCAATTAGGGTTTTCGTCTTATATTGCTCTTCACTGGACTACTGTGGAAAAGTTTCCTTACAACTTTTATCTTAAGATGGTCAACTGTGATCATCTTTATTTGGCAAAGATATACTAAATCATTTTAATTTACTTAAGCTACTAATCATCTTGATTTAGCGAGAAGATTGTTTCTTAAAATATAGGGTGATATCTTGATATCAAATATACTGGGTTTAGGTAATTTTATCATCAAACCAGGCATATGTGATTATCATTTTGAGGTTTTTGGATTTAGGTAAAAAAAATCATAATTGGTATCAAAACATTGATTCAAGCTCACGTTTTTTTATCTAAACAATTTGATTAATTCACTCCTTACTGCTAGAATGTGTACCTTATAATCTTCAATATATATGATTCGGTTTCATGATCCATTAATATACCTAAATTAGAAAGAAAAACGGGAATCGATATTAGGAGAAATTGATGAACCTAGATTTGGAATCCATGAAGAAAACCCTAACTTTCATATGAGCAAACCTCAACAAATATAATGTATTTCCAAATTATAGTTTATCAACCCCTTGTTTTTCTTTGTTACATGTCTTAAATGAGCTGATTTGGATTCCATGTCATTCTGATTACATGGGAAATGTCACATCAACGATATGTTACACGTGGACGTCCCACATGGAGAACGACATGACATGGAAATCTGATAGTTTATGTCATTTGATCTTAATTCAAATCAAACAGTTATCCATTGTTATAATACGTAAATTTTTCAAAATACGATACTTTAATAAAAAAGAATTTTTATGTATATTGTTGTAATAAAGAAAAATTAAAGTACAATTTTATAATAAGAAAATTTGTGTAAACAAGTTGCTATTTTATGTAATTAACCCTTAATTTTAATCCAACAATTAACCTACCATACTGCCAACTAAGGGAGTTGAAATTGAGTTAGTCATGGATTAGCCGAACTCAACCCACCAATAGTATATAATGCCAAACTCCTAGATGCGGATGGTCTTGAACTCCTAGAAGAAGCCAGAATAGCAATGTTTTCCATGTCAATATCTCATGGTCCTTAAGCCTAAGCTGGTAAAACATTCACTTTAGATCTTGAAAGCCGATGTTAATATTGATCGTCACCACACTCATTCTTTTTATTTTTTTTCATAAATTTAATTTATTTAAACTATATAAGTAGAAGGATGTGATCACAATAATGTATGAACAGTTATAATACAATATCTACTTAGAGAGATTTGACAAATCACATGTAAGACTGTAACAACCTTCATTTTATGGTTCCTTTATGATTAATTAGTTCGCATGCTAGGGAATTCAATTGTTCATTGGAGTTGTTTAACTTGAACATGACCTTTAGAAAGAAGGCCACATGTAAGAACCATATAACGCATGCCATTGCAATCCGTATATTATTTCTATCTAGTATATATACTCACATGGTGCGAAAACTAGCCAGTAAACCTTTCCTCTTGAATTCTATCAAGTGCAACATCATCAATATTCGGTTGTTTGTCGAATTTCTTCATCAAAGGTCGACTGGAAATGTTGAACTTCTACATAGTTGAACAAGACGTATCTATGGACCATCTCCACGTCATATTCACTCAAGATTATTTGTTTTCCACCCTTCGCGAATAGTGGACGAGATGGAACCTTGAATATGCTTAGTTCAACTAGGAATATCTGAGGCAAAGTTCCTTGACTGACAATTATGTTTTGTTTCTATTGTTGGATCAAATAGGTAGAAAAGTCATTTACAAGGTTCAACTCATGATAGAGTCCTCAACCCTTGCTTTGTTTCAAACCGTTCTCTTCAACGACCCAAATTGCCAGAATAGGCAATGAAATACATGTTATGGATGGAAAGAGTGTTTCATATGAATATATTGTACTAGCTTTTAATAAAATAAGAAATTACTCTCATAGAGATACATCCACCTATATTGGATCAGACCATGGTGTACACCTTCATGTGTCAAATGTATCACGTGATGTTTCATTGAATCAAAGATTCCAGGCGAAAAGACCTTTTCCAACTTGAAAATTGTTTGAACAATACTTGTTTGCAATAGAACCAAGTCATCTATGTGTAATACCCTTGAACATATCACACGAAAGAATGCGCAAAACTCTGTTATTGCATCCCATTTCGAAGTTGGTATCATCCCTCGTAAGACAAAAGAAAATATAAGATATTTCCAGATTTTCATTATCAATCTAGCAACATCAGGTATACCTTTAAAGTAGTAAAAAAAAGTTGGCTTTATATTTGGTTATATTTGTCATTTTTTAGTAAGAAAAACAAACTAGTTACATTATATAAACCTTTCAAGTTAGCAAATCTCATCTTGTTGCAAACTATTAATGTAGAGGCGACGTTCATGGTGAAAATCCGTTCTTTCAACACTAATAAAATCATCCAGATCAAGTCACTCAAACTTAGTAACTTTGATTGGTCAAAGTCACAAAAAACAAGTTATGCAAATTCAATGTTGTCATACGAATAAACAATTCCGAACTTATCTCTAGGCTAGAGAAAATAATGGTTGGATGCCGGTACCATTTTCCAAATATATACATCGGAGTGTCGAAGGTCGTTACGGCGAAGGGAGAAGGCCAAAGGGTGAAAGGGGTGAGAGAGAGTATTACTGTTGTTGGTGGTATTATTGGTTTAAATAATCAACACAAATGTGAGCAGATTTTTGATTGCTTGTAGAAAAGGATTCACACGTTTCCGGTAAATTATTAATAAAGAAGATATGTAATACGTTTGGACAATCTTGTATCATAACCAAAACATGGGGTGTTACGACAAACTCGTAACAACATAAATCAGTTTTTGTTAAGTGCCTTTTGTGTCTGCATCAGTTTAGTTTATAGTTTCATTTTTGCGCCGTGTTTGATCGTTTTCATGTAGATATTATTTCATTTTTAGTTAATTTACGTTTAATCATTGACAGGGGATATTTCATATTACATTGGTATTTTTGCCTTTTCTTCAGTTTTGACAAATATATTATATTAAAATTTCTTGAAGAGTGACACTCCTTAATTACCTCGACCTTTACAATCTTCTTAAAATAACTTTTATCGTGTCTTAGATTTATTTTTCATTTGATTGAGTTTTATTGTCTCGGATTAAATTATTGGGATTAAATTTCATCAAATTTGTTGACATTCCACCCCATTGACTAATACAAAACTTCAATGGCTTGTGGAATCGCTTACATGACGGAATTATTCTAATGTAGAATAAATGACATAACAAAACAGTAAGGATTAATAAGGACGCACGCCAGGGTAGTTCCCTGGAGGGTCATAATTGCAAACCACCATGTAGAAATCCTGGTTAGGAGGATCACATCTAGCCCTAGCACATCCAAGGCGTAGTGTATCTTTCCAAACTATTTGAGTATAATGACCACACATAGCCGTGCACTCATTTTTGTCGACATCATAGTCCTTTCTCTCATCAAGCCACATTTGCACTGCCCACAAAGCATTGAGGTTGGGACCTTTAGCCATGTTCTCACCGCCCCCTTCGGAGTGTATCATTTGACAATCTTTCCTTTTGTTGACCCACGCCCTTGCTCGTTTAGCCACTTTAGCGTCCCAACATAGCGGAGGCAAACCCAATGCTTTTCTAATACAACTATGCATATGAACATAGTCTTGTTGCTCTTTCTTGTGTGCATGAGATAAACGTAAATTTGTCAATGATATAACAATAACAAGTATGATGCTCCGCCAATGTCCCATCTTCCTATATGAGTTGACAATATTGATCGCGAATGGGTATTTATAAGGTGAAATATGTATTGAATATAGATGCAGTCAAAGTGTAATGCAAAAGGTGAGGAAGAATGAAAGCAAAGCATGCAAAAAGGATATTTTGATGGAGCAAAAAGTCCCAAGTTTTTCACTCGACTAAAATTTTGGGCAGAAAACCACCGCAACTAAATGCTAAACAATAGAAAATTTTCTGGACAAAATCAACAAATAATCATGAACCGTTATTTTGAGTGAAAAAATAGTGTTTGCTAATAATATAAGGGCTCCTTGTTTCTTCTCCAAGACACATCACAAAAGTATATCACTTATAGTAGACAACCACCTAAAAACACTCCACATTAGATTACATTATTTTGTTTCTAAATTTTTTTTAATCTTTGGTGATTCGTCACAAAAAAAAAATGGATCAACATTTTGGGGGTAAAGCCTATCGTTGACCTATTGGTGAAGGGCGGTTTTGACGATGAAGCGTCGACAGTCAGTGATCATTGAAGGATCTGCAATGAACATAATTCACTGACGGATTGACGAAGAGTAAACTCAACAACATAATTGAGAGCCCACTTGTAAATTGTTGGAATAAGAAACGAGATTACTGGTAGGTTATTAAACTATTGAGAGCCGAAACCAAAAAAGCAAGCCGAAATCATGACTTACAGCAAATATTGTGAGCATTTTTATGTTTGAGGGTTTTGGTAATTCATCCAACACCCCCAACACATTTAGGTTGGTCAAAAAGCCAAAAAATCGGCTAGGTCAAGTCCCCAAGCTATAAAGTAGTTTCCTAACAACTAGTGTTTCGAAAAATGCCACCGGGGTTTCTAACCGGTTCTTGTAAGTAGTCCTATAGGACGAATCCTTAGTCAGTTTTCCCATTAAAATCTGCCTAGCCATAACCAATCGAGCCTTAAGCGATCCCAGTTAGGCCCTACCAATCCAAGTCCTAGTTCGAGGTCGTCCTTTGGTGTAACTGGTTCTTGCCTAGCCATCTCTAGGTTATGTTGGAGGTGTTTAGGTTATTAATCTCGACTTTCTCTCCTCTATATATTTCATAAACCTATAAACTAATTTCATGGTACATACGTCTTATATTTTTCATGTATTGATTTTTTGTAAATTACTATTTTTTTTAAAATATACAACCTAACGATAACGACAACCAAAATAAAAATAAATATCATTTACATAATAGAAATTCAAAGATAAAATTATATTTTTATGTGTAAAGAGTCTATAAATAAATTAGAAATTAAAAGAGAATTTATTTTATTAACAATTTTAGAATAATATAATATAATTAATAAAACATTAAACTTATTTTTTAAATATATGGAAAAGAGGAATAGTTCTAATCATATGGCATGGACCGGTTCCTTGCAACGGTTTCTCTAGTAGTTATGTTATAATTTTTCTAAACTAAACTGTTAAAAGTTGAATTTAAAAAAAAAAATTATATTCAACTCTAATAGTTATCTTATTTTAGCAATTCTGTCATTAACTATATTATTAAAATATTTAATACATTTAATACAATGCTATTTTTTTTCTCTTGAATAGTTAAATTCAATGTCTTTTATTGGTGAAAAAGAATTAAATATTATTTATCTCTTTTAAATATGAAGTTTTAGAGATTTCTCTAAACTTGAAGATTTTTACTCTCTCTCTCTCTCTCTCTCTTCTTTTATCTATTTTAGCATATGGTAAAATGTAGCTGTTGGAGCAAAAATGTATCTTTTATCTTTAAAATTTTTATTTTAATATAACTGTTGAAGATGCTGAAAAAACCAAGAGTAATATGTGTATCTGTACAATAATCACTTTGAAGTGTTTAACAAAAAAGTGATTATTATTCTAATTTTTTGATTAATTAGTATAGGTCAAACTATTTAAATCGCGAGAAGCACATAAGAAATTGTTATAAAAATCTAATTATTAAAATAAATGTAAATTTACAAAACTATTCCTAGCTTTCACCAACTATTTTCTTTTTTCACATGTTCAAGTTCCAATAATCACTTTGAAAATGTACATACAAAAATTCCATCCTTCGACGCCAAGAAGTATTAATCTCTTCAACTCCATTACCATTCTGTTCCCGTTTACCGGTAGGAACATTATTAGTCACCGACTCATCGAGTTGCTTACATGACAAATTTATTCCGTTACAGAATAAATGACATGGGAAATTGAACAAGAACTAAAAAGGATGCTCGCCAGCAACGTTCCCTGGAGGGTCGTAATTGCAAACAACCATGTAGCAAGGATTGTCGGGAGGGTCACATTTAACTCTAGCACATCCAACACGTTCAGTATTTCTCCAAACTACTTGAGTATAATGACCACAAACATTTGTTGTGCACTTGTTTTCCTTGTAGTCATAATTCGGTTTCTCATCAACCCACATTTGCACCGCAAATGAACCATTGATGTTTGGCCCAGATGCCATGTTTTCACCGCACCTACCGGAGGGTATCATCTTGCAATCCCTCCTTTGATTGGCCCACGCCTCCGCAGCTTTAGCCAATTCAGCGTCCCAACATAATTGAGGCAATTCGAATAGTCTTCTAATACAACTATGGGCATGGACGAAGTCATCTGGTTCGCTATGTGCGTGAGATAAATGTACAATTGCCATTGATAAAGCAAGAACAAGCAAGATACTTTGCCAATGTCCCATTTTGCTATATGTTTCGAGTCTGTTTGACACAAATAAATATTTGTAGGGTGAAATGCGTTGTGAATAGAGACAACGTCAAAGTGAAACGCAAAGAATGAGGACGAATTACAGGAAAACAAGAAGGACATTTTAGTGGCGCAAAAATATTCAACCTTTTCAACTCAACTGAAATCTTTGGTAGAAATACCACCATAATTAACTAATAATAACCATCATCTAACGTCAACAACTTCACTCTCAAATGGAAAATGATTGTTTATCCTATCTCTTAGGGTTTATTTATTACCATCATTCAAATTTGAACCTCTATTTCTGTGAAGCATTCCAATTGTGTTTTCTTTTAGACATTTTCACATTATAATAAAATTGGGTTTATAGGACACTCCCAAATTTTAAGTGTCTTAATAGACCTCTTTATAGGACTTAGTTTATAGGACCAAAAAAATAAAATGTGCTATCTAAAGGTGTTGTAATAAGTTTATATGACGTTTTTTTGACGTCGTAATAAGTTTTTTAGGACACTTTTAATATAAAACGTCTTATTATCAACTTTATAGAACACTATTTGAAAAACTGCCTATAAAAACAAATGCTCTATAAAAAAATGAGTTTATAGGACACTTTTTCAAAAGTGTCCTATAAAGTTGGTAATGCGACACTTTGTTTAAAAAATGTTCTAAAAAACTTGTTAAGACGCCAAAAAACGTCATATAAACTTATTACAACACCTTTAGATATGACGCTTTATATTTTGATCCTATAAATTAAGTTCTATAAAGCGATCTATTGGAACGCTTAGATATCGGGGGTGTCCTATAAACCCAATTTTGTTGTAGTATGTGTCTCCCTCTTATATTCTGAACATCATCCGTATGTCTATTTTTTTTTTTAACATTGATCGTAAAATAGTTCTAACATTTGTTTTGGTATTAAGGTACGAAAAAACGTATTTCTGAAAATTCAAAATCGGTTCACATACTTTTATAAATATTATTTTAGACTACAAATTTGATTTTGAAGATTTTATAGTTTACAGTGTATATATGTTTTCACGAAGAAAATGTAATTCTAACTATTTGAATTTCAAAGATCTTACGATTTTAAAACAAAATAAAACACAATTTTATATGTTCTTGTTTTTCATATCCCAAGTTTTCTAACTTGATGCATATTTTACAACTGCATTTTGCTTTTATTAGATGCATATCATGTTATACATTTATAGTTTTCTTTAAGACGTACAATTGTCAATCCTAGTAAGGTTTCACACCGATATAGTTTCCTGGAGGTTCATAATTACAAGTAATAAACCATGCTTGATTTAGGCACCTAACCCTAGCACATCCAAGCCGAACTGATGTTTTCCAAACCACTTGCGTATAATGCCCACACATCTTGAAAATAGCGCATGTGTTCGACTTGTAATCGTAGTTAGCCTTCTCGTCGACCCACATCCTCACCGCATCTACACCCGAGAGCTCTCCCGTCCCCCACGCAATATTCTCACCGTATTTATTGGTGTTTGAGTGTCGTAGTGCACAATCAACCTTCCTTCGATTGGCATAGTTTTGGGCGAACTGAGCCACCGTAGCATCCCACTTCATAGGCCCCAAACCGACCTCTTTTCGAGCAGCATTGTGGGCATCAACAAAGTCTTGTGGTGCATTTTGGGCATGAGAATGTAGAATTGATGCTAATATAACACAAACAAGCAGTGACATGTAATATTGGTACCCCATATTGATCTATCAACTCAATGATTAGTATTTATATATGTATTAAGTTTATTGTAGTTGTGAATGAATTATATGAATGGTATTTATGAGGAAATATAGATGTGAATACGAAAGAAGCGTAACAAAGTTGAAAAACAAGAGGAAGATTTCATGGAGTACAAAGTTGCAA